CCTGTGCAGCCATTGTCCCTTTAGGCCCTGTAGAGTGCCATCTTGAAGAAGGCCTCTCCTGTCAGCATTACTGTCATTAGGTCTACACTCTGCGATTTCTGTTTGGCTAGAAGTTTTTCTTTTCGTTCTCAACTTTAAGCATTCAAAATGATTGGTCTTTTAGGAGGCATTCTCTGTTCAGTCTGTTCAGTGAGATAGTCAGAAACAACAAATACCTTAATAAGCCAAAGGTTTCCATTTTTTTGAGGAGATGGGGCTGCCTCTGTCTCTGTCTCTCTCTCTCAGGCTGCCCCTCAGGCTCTGCTGTCACAAGAATGCAAAACAATGTCAAAGATCAGTAATGACCAGGGCCCAGTAATTTGCTAAGATGGACACACAGGTCAGACAGGTCAGAGGGCATTCCTGACAGTGGCGTTCTCTGCCTGCAGGGTGGATAGGATGCCCGGTGGCTCAGTGCTCAGCAGTCCCTGGACCAGCTGCCATCCTCCAGCTGGGAGAGGAGGCCCAAAGCAAGACATTTTGGAAATAACTCAGCTTCTAGTTTGCAAGTCATTCAGTTCATATTATGGTCCATCTAAGTCATGTTGGCAGCCTGGTGTGTGTCCAGCTGCCTGTCCGGGCCCCTGGGGTGGGGCCTGTCTTTGGCAGGTTACCACCATCAGTTTGAATTGATGTTAAACCGTGTTTCTTTCTTTGCACAGATCAGTGTCTAGGATGACCAGATACTCCAAATTTTCTGGCATAGACCCAATTCCAAATATTATGTCTTTCTTCCTTACTTCAAAAGGTATTTGTTGAGCATCATGATAAATGCTGAGTTGTCAGGCATATAGCAGTGAATATGGCAGATGCAGTCTCTGCCTTTATAGAGCTTATCTCATTGTCAGATCATATATTCTGGTTTACGGTCTGAAAAATAGTATCACCTTTCCCTGGCCTCACTAATCCTAACTCTCCAGTAGAGCCCTCACAGCAGGATTTTAGGCTGAATTACTTTTCTGTAGTTTCCCTTTCTTCCCAAGGCGCTTGTAGTTACGTATATCTGCAGGGAAAACAGCCATAGCATGAGCCCATAAGTACATTTTAAGCTGTGAGTACTTCCCAGGGAACCGTTTAGTGGACAAAGCCTCTGTATGCTTTGCTGATTATGCTGTTGTTAATTCTGCTGCATTTCACGGAGGGATTATGGCAGGCCCCTCCGGCTGGTTGTTTCCTTTTCCCTTCTTCAGCAAGAATTTTCTTTTCATTCTGTGCATTTATTAGGGCTTCTGTTTTAAAGGTGATTCTGCCTAGCATCATTTCATGCCCAGGAGGCTTTTAAGAAGCCTGGCGTACATTTAAAAAAAATTTGATTCTTTAAATACCATTCTTAAAGCATCATAAAGTAGCTTTAAGAAACTTTTAGTTATGGAGAATTTAAAACATAAGTGAAGGAGACTGAATCATGCAATGAATCACTGACCCTTCACCAGCTTCCACTCTCCGCCACCCATGGTCAGTCCTGCTCGTCTACACCCTCATCCACTTCCTCCGCCCGCTATCCCAGATGTCATAAATGTGTATGCACTTTTCTCTAAAAGATAAGGACTATATTTTAATATAATCACAATGCTATTATCATGCCTAAAAACTAATATTTATCTTATAGGGAGATATGTTAAGGAATATGAGAGAACAATTCAGCCACAAGTGTACTGAATGTGTCCACTTTTTCACTTTTTTCTGTGTTCCCCAGTTTTTCTGTGTTTCCCATACCAAAAGCAGACTGACTTTGTAAAAATGACAGCAGTCTCAGCTCCTTGGCAACTTTTCTGGATATAGATTTTAAGATTGGGGCAAGCGTCAGCTCCCTGTCACTCCATCTAAGAGGAACAAAGGATGGTCCCTCCAGCTGAACCATATTTACATATTCTGTCTGGGTAATTCCACAGAACCTCTTCCAGATTCACCCAGCAAATGTTTATTGAGAAACTTCTTGAGTGTTAATCTCTGTTAGGTGCTAGGGATTGTGGTGGAAAAGAACACAAATAAAGCCCTAGACTTCTCCGAACTTCCAGTCAGTGGGGGAGCAGGCCTTACACGTATAAAGGCAATTGTGGTGTGGTGAGTGTTGTGGAGACATAACCAGTCTGAAGGGTCAGTGAACAAGTCCTTGAAGGACAGCATTTCAGCCCTGCGCTGGGTGCCACAGGCAGAGGGAATAGCCTTTGTGATGCCCTGAGGCAAGAAGGAGGTTGGCTCTCACAGGAGCAGAAAGGAGGCAGTGGGAATGGAATGGGGTGGGGTTGAGGCAGAGATGGGGCACAATGGCTGAATGAGAGCCACCCCACCTGCTCCTGGGCCCAAGGGCCAGGCTCTTGGCTTCCCTGCTGCTGAGGTCTGGGCTGCCACATTTGTTTGTCTTTGAGTTCAGATTCCTCTCCCGACCCAGCTGTTCTGAAGGCACTGTGGTCAAGGAAAGAGCTTTGATTTGGAAAGACAGGCATTTGAATGCTGCTACCTTGGAAGAACTAATAATATTTACATGGTGGGATTGTTGTAAGGATTACAGAAAATGTGTATAGTAAAATGGCTGGGCAAATATTTGTCCCCTTCCCTTCATAAACGTCCCTTTCCTTTGCCTGTCACAGCCCAGCAGCTCCTCACGCTGCCCCAGGAATCCTCTTCTTGGGGAGCGGCCCGTGCCGGTGGCCTTGGCCCTGAGCGGAGTTCTGCTGGCCCCTTTCCTGGAGACTTATTTAGACCCTGACTTTGTAATAATGTTTTAGTTTCAGTTTTTTGAAAATTGAAATAAAAATTACTAAACCACTAATTCAAAAACAATGCCTGTTTTTTTGCAAAAAAAAATTTGATGAGTGCAAAAGAGCATAAGGGAAAAAAATGTAATCCCCCTTTACTGAGGAAACTGGCATTAAAGGTTTAGATTCTGTCTAGATGTTTTATACATACAGATACACATTTTTAAAACAAAAAATAGGAATAAGAAAATTAACTATTTTTCACTTCACAGATCTTTGATATCTTTCCATGTGCATAACTCTTAGATCTGTGACCTCTGGTGCTGTGTTTCACAGACCTGGTTGTCCTTGGCATTGTTTGTATTTTCCTCCATCGGTGGTGGTTTTCATCGCCCCACATGGGTAGGGAGGTAGAGTCTTCTGCCTCTGGCTGCCAGACGTTTTCCTGAAAGCCAGTCCACCTGTGAAAGCCTCTACTTTGCAGAAATGCATGGCACCCAATGTATTGTCACCTGCTTGTTTCTCAAGAACTGGGTGGAGTGCGTGACTGAAAGAACATGCTTTTTTTTTCTTGGTATGTGGGGAGTTTCATGAGAGCTTTTCCTCTTCCTAATTATATGTCTGGTAAATGAGGAATATCTAATCCCAGCTTGTCATTCCGCCAAGAGCTGTTTAATAGCCCATTCACCTAAACTTGTGTACAGATTTCAGGAGTTGCATCGGTGCCAGGGGGGCCAAGTGTGAGGGCCTCAGTGTCACAGCCCCTCACATCCTGTATCTTTCCAAGTATGTGCAGAAGGGTGGGTAGCAATGGCCGTTTTGTTTTCTTACTTTTTAAAATAGTCCACATTGTAAACAGACAAACAAAGCATACAGAAGAGTATAAAGAAAAGATTGAGAGTCATTTTGATCTCCTCCACCCTTGCCCACTCTGCTGTCCCCTCCTTAGAGGTCATTAGTATTAATGATTTGTCACATATCTCTCTACACCCTGCTTTTGCAAAATTTGAATGAATGGGATCATAAAGTATTTATTTTCTGCCACAAATGAATGACTTTAAAAGGCAAATTACCTTTTGAAAAGCTGAAGTTTTGTATATCAAAAATATTTTGTGAGTGCATGGAAGAATTTATGCAAAGGTGGCTTAAAAATTAGTGGGGGAACTGAGTTGCAATTATGGAATTCAGCCTTTTGTTCTGTGATTGTTGAGGTGGCTCGGTCCACCCCAGGGAAAATTGGGTTTAGACCGGTTTGTCTATGAAGTCTCAATCCCTGGTCTTGATTTTTGCTTGCCCCTTCCCTTCCGTGTGTGGAGTCCCCTGCTCTGTCCTCCTGCATCTAACAAGGCTTGCAGTATGATGAAGTACACTTACTGTCAGACGGAATCAGGCTCGAATCTAGATGTGCGACTCTAAGCATGTTACTTAACCTCTCTGAGCTTCAGTTTTGTCACAGAGTGGTTATAGTGATTACATGTGCTAAGGGACCTTTCTAGCTTATGGAAGGTGCTCACAAATCTTAATTTCCCTTTCTCCTGTTTCTTGAGCCTTCATTCTATAAAGATGTGTTAGGACTTGGACATAGTACCCCTTCCCAGGTCAGAGCTTTACCTGAAGGAATTAAGAAGCAGGGAGACTCTTTTGGAGTGATGTCACACCACCGCTACCTGGCTTTTCAGGAATACCTCGTGAATGATCACAATAGGTCATGTAGTCACCCCACATCCTTCCTCAGAGCTGGCCCAGGGTCAGTCTTAACCTCAGGAGACAATTTGGTTGCCAGACAGAAGTTGACATTCTTCCCCTGAGTAGCTGAACCTCATGCATTTCAGGCCACTTATTTAGTGATGAGAATGAAGGCATAGAGAGGACCTGATATAAAGGAAAAAGCAGCATTCCCAAGAATGAGCATTCAGACACTTGCTCTTGTTATCAGGGGCAAACATGAGTCCATCTGGTACCTTAGTGAGAATTAGAAAAAGGCACCCTCTCTGGGAAGATAGGTCCCTATAGATGAACTACTAGATGGGTGGCTGGGACTTTGTTAGAAACTAGAGAAAGCTGCTCTTCCTCCAGGGCGAAGGCAGGTGCAGCTTGGTGAGCAGAGACCAGGCTGGATTTCTGCCAGTCTCTCTCCCTGCTGCCACGCACCTCAGTGCTGGGCACAGCCTGCATAGCCATGCAGTGTGGGCCCATTAGTACAGCTGCTTTCACGAGGCCTAAGGAGTCACTATTCCTTTCTCTTTTCCTGATGTCTTGTAGCATCCTGACCTAAGCAATGGAGAACCGACCAGGAAACTTCCTCAAGGTGTTGTCTATGGTGTGGTCCGAAGATCAGATCAAAATCAACAGAAAGAAATGGTGGTGTATGGCTGGTCCACCAGTCAGTTAAAAGAAGAGATGAACTACATCAAGGATGTGAGTCATTTAAGGATTTTTTGTTTGTTTGTTTATACTCTTTGCAGCATGTAAGAGAGTAGAGTTGTAAGTACTGATGTGAATGTAATCAGGCATTCTGGAAGAATTTTTAGTATTATCATTTTGAATGGAAATGTTCCTCCGTATCTTCATGGAAATGTTAAAAGTAGAGATGCAGTTTTGCAATGGGGTGTGGAGTGAACTTCCAGGTGTTACTAAGTAGGAACGCTCTGGAGACCAAGTGGCTTCTTTCCTATGGAGGCTCCTAAGTGGTTTTGCTTATTAAGTTGGCCACTCCTAATGCATGAGTTTGACAACTGATCACATTCGGATGCTTTTGGCTGCAAGTAACAGAAATGCCAACACCAAAAGGAAATTTGTCGCACGTGGGGGTAAGTCTAGAGGTAAGTGTGCTCTAGTTAGGGCATGTCCAGGCTCCGGTTCTACTTCTCTTGAGTTTCCCTTGGTTCTGTCCTCCTTTGGCCTGTGGTTCATAACATCGTGTGAAAATATGACAGTGTCTGGAGGAAGAAAAGAGGCCATTCATCTCTGGTTTCTTTTTAGAGGCCCTCCATTAAGGTTCTCCCTATATCTCACTGGCCAGGACTGGGTCACATGCCCACTCCCAAATTCATCCCTGGCTGAGGGAATGGGATGACTGTGGCCATTCAGACCACTCAGCTGGGTTGAAATGGATGCTGGGAAGTCATCCACAGTAGACATCATCCAAGCCAGGCCAACGAATGCTATTTCTTTGTGTGTAATATTACATTTCTTATCTATGTGACACATGCTCTTTGGAGAAAATTTGGAAAATACAAAAAGGTATGAAGAAGAAAACAAAAGCACTCATAATTCCATTATTCAGCCAGAGCAGTTGTTAACATTTGGAAGCATTTCCTTCTAATTTTTTGTTTCTTATCTATTTATCTTCTATCACCTGTCACCATTCCTTTGTGGCCCTTTTGGTCTCCTTGGATTGATCAGTGCCCCTGTTGACCAACTAGAATGATTCGATAGAAATGAAATGAGCTGCTCTGAAACTGATGGGCCCTAAGCACTGACTTTGGACTAGGAAGTGCTCATAAGAAGCAGGGGCCCTGTGGGCCAGTGGAGAGGACCTCTGTGGACCTTGGGTCAAGGTCCAGCTCTGCGTTTGCCCCACGCTTCCCTCTCTTTTGGCTTTAGTTTTCTCATCGGTGTACTGTGGGAGCTGGGAAGGACCCCTAAGGCCCAAACCTCCAGTTCCATGCACCCCTTTTTATTTGGTGGGCTTGTGGATAAGACACAAAATTATGTTGTCAGCTTTATATGGTTTTTGAAAAGAACATCTCTTATTGACTATCAAAAGTAATAAATGCTTTGGGCATGTTCTTTAATGTATCTTGAAAGATTTGTATGCCTGTATAAGGAATAAAAAATAATCTTGTTTTCATTAAAGAAATGATAAATGCTTAACAGAGAATGGAGAAAAGCCACAAAAGCTATACACATGTACTAATGCACAGGACATGTGTGACAACCATTAGTCTCAAATCTCCAGTCATCCTACCCCCCAAATATAATTTTGAACCATTCAGAGTATCTCATTCCTAATTTTCCGATATAGGAGCAGCTTGAACATTCTCAGTCTCCTATGTTTTCCTCATGGAAATTCTTAGTCCCTCCTCACTTAAATGCCCCAGATAGCATGGTACTCCTTCAGAGGTAAACCTTCCAAGCAGAGTGGAGAGTTGCAAATTGCTCAAGACAAAGACAGCAGGTTCAGTCTGGTCGTAAACCAGGGATGACATGTGCTCCGGTTATAGGGGTGGTTCTGACCTGAATTGCCAGAACTGAACGGTGATCTGCGATTTAAAATTGATTTCCACGTCCCACCTTCTATAGCTGGCTTCAAATCTATCCCTGACGTCCTCATTCCTAAGTGTGTTTATGGGATTGTTTGTCTGCTCTCACTATGAGTGACTGGCCCCATTTGCTTCCTGTAGTATTTGCCACCAGCTCCACATCCTGCCCACTCCCCACTGGTGAGCAACACAAGAGCCAACTCAGGGTGATGGATGAAAGCCATTCTGCCTGCCCAGAATGAAAATTGTGCTTGTAGCCTCATTTTCCCAAAATGTTTGTAGTTAAAGGCAAGAAAGTACATTCCATTGTTAGAATTCATCTAGGGACGGCTTGGCATCTTGACTTGCCCTCCTCCTTCCCCAGTCTCCACCAACATCCCATCACCCCTAATAAACAGGTGGTCTTGTTTAAAACAGCATGCTAGCTATGCAAGTACGGCTGCAGGAGGAAGACCCTCATGCCACCTGAGCATGATATTTCAACAGGCCATTTTTTTCTTCAGAGCTTATTTTTGGGTAATTAATATTAATAAAGAATTATATATAATCACAATATGTATTTATTATGACTATTATTATTATTGGGGTAATTCCCTTGGCTCCTAAGTAGGTGTTAGGAGTAATCTTCTCTCTTAATCTCCCAAATGGTTCTATTTTTAAGATTGTTTTTTGTGAGACTTTTCTCTCAGTAGGGTTTCTTAACAGTTTTGGCAATCTCACTTGGAAACATTATGGCTTGATCTTTAACTAGCATCCTTGTGGGTTGCAGGTGAGAGCCACTTTGGAACAAGTAAGGAAGCGGATGTATGGAGACTATGATGAAATGAGACAGAAGATTCAGCACCTCACCCAGGACCTGTCAGTAAGTCAATATCTCAGTGACTTGGAAATGTGGAGGGGTAGTAGAGTTTAGAAGTCCCTCTCAGTGCCTTGTGCCAGAAGATAGTTGAGTTTATGATGTTCTTTATACATGGAATCATATTTTGAGTGAATTGGGGAATTTTATCACAGAATGATGTTTATTACTTAGAGGAAAATTTCTGTGGCCAGAATTATCTTTACATTCAAAGCATTCCCTTCAAAGTCAGGAATAATTCAAGAAAGCCAGCTATCACCATTTCTACCTAACATTATACTTGAGAGACTAGCCAATTGAAGTAAACAAGAAAAGTGAACATAGAGGTATAAAAACTGGATAGATGTAAAACTATCACAGCTTACAATTATATACCCAGAAAGCCCAAGTGAACCAATAAAAAAAAATATAAGCAATAAGGGAATTCTTTAAGGTAGCAGGGTACAAAATTAATAGATACCAACAAATAGGTTTCAGTATACAAAAAAACAGAGGAAATAGCAGCAACAAAAAACTACCAAGTATCTAGGTGTTGACTGTAACAAGTAGAAAGACATACCATGTGCATAGACAGGAAGATTCAACATCATAAGGTATCAATACTATTCAAGTTAATATGCAAATTTAATATAGCCCAATCAGATACCAACAGATTTTTATTTAATGTTTTTGCAACTGTTCTAAGTAATTCCAAGGTATACGGAAAATGAACAGGTAGAGTTGGGGAAATTCTGGGGAAAGAAAAAGCAATGAAGGAGACTAGCCCTATTACAAGAAGCTCAAAAGTCTCAGAGATTAAAACAGTATAGCATTGGTACATAAATAAATAGACATCAATGAAAAAAGGCCCATAGATGTACCCCAATGTATAATAAATGTAGCATCTAAAATAAACGGAGGAAAATGGATCAGTTAATATGTACTGTTGGGACAGACTAATACCTGGATAAGTTCCAAATAGATTAAAGATTTGAATGCCAAAAATGAAACTTAAAAATGCCAGAAGAAAATATGTGAAGTTCTTTTATATTCTTGGCATGGGGAAGGCCTTTTTTCACTATGACATGCAATCTCAAAATCACAAAAGTAAAGGTTTATAACTTTGACTACATTAAAATGAAAAACTTGTGCTGGCAAAAACATCAAAGTCAAATGATGAATGGAAAATTTTTTGCCTTCATATTGTAAAGAAGAGGATAACTTTCTGAGTATTTAGGGCACCCATGAACCAAGAAGAAAAAGGCCACAACTCATAAAAATAGGCACAGTACTGGTTACAGATAATTTATATAAAGGAGAGATGAAGAGCTCTTAAATGTATAACGAGATGCTCAGTATACTCTCAGTAAGAGAAATTCAGATTAAAACCGCCCTGAGATGTAAATTTTATTTATTAGACTGGCAGAGCAAGAGGGGGACAGGACATTATATTAGCAGCGCTGTGGGGAAAGAGTTCGCTGGATAGAACCTGATTCTGCATTGCTCTTAGGGAGAACAGTTTGGCAATATCTGCTGAGATTATAAATGCCTATATCCTTGGACTCAGCAATTCTATTCCTAAGAATTTATTGTATAAAGTCCCACATATGTGAAATGGCATATACAAACTTAATTGTTGCAGAATTGTCTGCAGTAGTGAAAATATTGAAAACCTAAATGTCTGTTAAGAAGAGGAAAGTAAAAATTAATTATCTCTACAATATAATATACAAAATTGATTTAAAAAAGAGGAAGGAATAAAAAAGAATGAGTGGGCTCTTCAAAAAGAGATGCAGAAAGATTTTCAAGAGGTAAGTAGGTGGTGAGAAAAGCAAGATATAAGAAAATATGCCTAATGTGCTGTCACTTACATAAAACAGGAGGGAAAAATCAGTATGTTAAGATTGTTTCGTGTGTGCACACAAAGTTATAAGAGGGATAATTGAGAAAGTAATTAACAGTGACTCAACTGAGAGGCGGAGTGGGCAAGGTGGTAACTGAGCAGATGGGTCAGGAGCGAAGGGGATATTTATTTTAGTGTGTATCTTTTACGCTTTTTAAATGTTTTAACTATGAGTGTATTACCTTACTCAAAATTTTAAGAAAAAAAATAACTTTCCTCTGGTCTAACCAAGTTACTGCTTATGAGAAAAATTCTGTACAAATATTTGTGATTAATAATCTTGAAGAAAAAAATGTCCATATGTATGTGACATCCTTCCCATAAATTACTGTCTACAGGAAAGAAGCCCAGTTACCACAGTTGTGCGTTAGAGTTTAGCTTATGGCTTGGCTGTGAAATTATCTGCTTAAGTAAAACCTACTGCTTTGATTTTAGGGGTGAGGATATGTAAACATACCTACCTAGTTCATTCTCGTTGGCTTGTAAGAAGAGGTTTGTGAAATTCTCAGCCAGTTAAGGAAATTCACTCTGTCGCACTGCAAACACTAATGACTAACTAAAACCAGAGGATAGGATTTGCAATAGGTGCATAAACAAGTCTCTACCTCCTGCTTTCCACTGTCATCTCCTGCACACTCTCCCTTTTTTCATGCTGGAGCGGTCACAGGAGCCCGTCTCTCTGCCTACAGTCTCCTCCTGCACTGCACCTCCTACGGCCAGATTAAGATTGCCGAACTACTGCGCTATGGACATGCCCCTAACAAGAACATGCCCCAGACTCCTGGGCTTGGCTGCTGCTTGAGCCCTCCCTCCTCTGTTCAGAGTGCAGCTCTTGCTATGTCATTCCTGGCTGCTTTCTGTGGCTCCCGCAGGCCACACCAAGGCCTGCCCTGATCCCTCATCCCTAGGCCTGCTGCCTCCTTGCCCCTCTGTGTGCCCAGCCTTGCTTTAAGGTTTAAGACTGGCTGCTGCTGAAATTCTCTCAAACATGTTAAACACACACACCCAACAGACACAACACAACAGCAACCCCAAACAACTCTTGAGAACTGGGTGAGGCCAAAGTATATTCTTTCTATTGTGAGTAGAAAGAGTAAGATATTCCAACTGGGTTCAGTTCTAGCTGTGCCACTTCTTAGCCATTTGTGTGCAAATCCCTTAACTTCAATGATTCTGTTTCCTCCCTATAATGGGGAATGTTCTAGCTGCTGCATAGTGTTTGTGGGTAAAATTGTAACATTTCCAGAGTCTCTCTCCTGTCTTTAGTGCATTTGCATATCCTCAGTCATGGAGAGAAGTTCACCTCCATGTCAATGAATAATTACCTGGGCAACCCAGGGTGTGTCTGAACCTGAGAGTTTAAAAGGAGGGACTGACATACCATTTGACCCAGGAATTCCACTTCTAGGAATGCAGTAGCTGGGTTTGAAAAAGACAGATGCACCCCTATGTTTATCACAGCACTATTTACAGTAACCAAGATATGGAAGCAACCTAAGTGTCCATCAGTAGATGAATGGATAAAGAAGAGGTGGTACATATACACAATGGAATATTATTCAGCCATAAGAAGAAAACAAATCCTACAATTTGCAACAATATGGATGGAGCTAGAGGGTATTATGCTCAGTAAAATAAGCCAGGCAGAGAAAGACAAGTATCAAATGATTTCACTCGTATGTGGAGTATAAGAATAAAGAAAAACTGAAGGAACAAAACAGCAGCAAATCACAGAACCCAAGAATGAACTAACAGTTACTAAAGGGAAAGGGACTGGGGAGGATGGGTGGGAAGGGAGGGATAAGGGGGTGGAAAAAGAAAGGGGGTATTATGATTAGCATTTGGGGGTGGCATGGGGAGGGCTGTGCAACACAGGGAAGACGTAGTGATTCTACAGCATCTTACTACGCTGATGGACAGTGACTGTAATGGGGTGTGTGTGGGGGACTTGGTGAAGGGGGGAGCCTAGTAAACATAATGTAATTGTAGATTAATGATAACAAAAGAAAAAAAAGGAGGGACTGGCTTGTTTGCTTGTCTGCTTCTTCAGGAGCAGAGGAGAGAGACGGCTCTGGACTGCAGTTTGTAAGCAGTAAATGGGTTTTAAACTTTATTTCTCCCTTTGACTGATTTCGGTTTTTAGAGGTATTTTGCCCCAGGATTTCCTCTCTCAGGACTTACAGTGTTGTTATAAGGGCACAGTGTTGTGAGACCCTGTGGCTGAATGAGTAAATACTACCTAAAGGAGAAATATTCTGGTCTCTCCACTCTCTGGGTCATAGGGTACTTGAAATGTCTGTTGAAGTGACTGTGGCTACTGTCAGGAGGAAGGTCCAGTGTAACCATGTGACTGGTTTTGTGTAACCATCCCCTCTATCTGTCCAGGTTTCACAGGCTCAGCAAGGCTATCTCGAGAGTCACATCCAGACACAGTCGTCAGCCCTGGATACTTTTAATGCCATGAACTCGGCTTTGGCTTTGGACTCCATTGACCTGCAGGTAGTCCTCTGTTCAGTAGCAGTGGGGTGCCCTCTTTTACAGTGCAGGAGGCTCAGCTAAGAGTGGGTCCTGTGCCTTTGTAGAACAGTCAGTCACAGGATGTCCTCACTTTGTCGTTCAGAGCCCTTTATGCATGGCTGCAGTAAAGATCATATCAGCAAGATAGTGAAGGGCATTAAAAGAGGCACTTCTAACTGGAGACTTTACACCTTGGAGTTGTGGTTGTTCTGGCCCCCTTTAAAAGGTGCTTAGATCATGAGTTCAGTTCTAGAAATGTCACTTGCTCCACTAGATACTCGAGAGGTCTTAAACATCAGTGCCTGAAACAGCTTATCAGCCTCTGCTCCCTGGAGCCCGTGTTGTGGGAAGTTCCCCCAGTCACAGAAAAGACAGACTGAACCAAAGACACTCTGTGTTCATTCGTGGCAAGTAACTCCCAGAGGCTGTTAGACACGTTTTTCTAGTTTAGAAGTTATTTGCATTCAAAGAAATCATGTGCCTTCCAAAGAATATCTTGCTGTACCAGACAAGAAAGCAGATAGACCCATGTTCTGCAATCGTGCAAATGTGTCTTGTCAACACACTTAAAGGGGATTTCTCTCTTGATTAATTGGATTTGCTAGGGGTTAACTACTCAGATGCTGCCCATTGCTACTCCTCTGAGTCCCACATCTGACACGCAGATTAACTTGAAAGTGTTCAAAGCAAAAGTGTTATATTCACTTGAAACAGCTTCCCTTGGCTTTAGTTTCCAATATGCAAATAATGGTTTCTGCTTCTACTCTAGCTTCATTTGGTTCTTATCATTTTATCCTCCTCTTAAATTCCACAGGCTATTTCATATCCTTTCTGGTTCTATAAAAATAATTTATCAGATATGCAAATAAACATTCATGTTGGGATTATCCACTTCCCCTAGGACCTCATATTCTCTTAATAACCGCTGTTAGGGCAGCTCATCCCCCTCCCCTGCAAAGCTAGGCCTTTGTCTAGCAGTGAGCCTGGGTGGGCATCCTACCGGGATTTGTCTGGGAGGCCCACCCTTCCTGGCCCTCCTCAGTGCCTGCTGGTTTTCCCCTGGCCTCAGGCCAAGCTCTGCTTTGGGTCTGATTTACTCAGGAGCCTGTTTTCCCTTCCTCCTGCCCTCGAAGCTCCCTTTCTCTCCCTCTCGGGCATCTCACTCGTGGTCAACCAGGAAGTCCTTCACCTCACCTGGGTTCAGACCTTGTTGGTATCTGCACTAAGTTTCTGGTTTTCCTCCTGGTCACACTTGAGATTTGCCATCCTTCTGACACTCCAGGTCAGCCATTAGACCAGAGTCGGCCATAACCCAGGTACCCTGACTGACTCCTCATCACAGTCCAGACTCTAGTCTGGGGCAGACAGAGGCACCTTAAAATGAAAAGATTAAAAACCACTGTTAAGAAGGAGAAAAGAAAGGTATACCATCTCACAGCCAGGAAGCCCAACTGAGTCTGAAAATAGCCAGTGTATTTCTGCGGAGCCCCAATCTCATCCATTGTCCAGTCTACCCCATTTTCATTTTTATTGACAGCCAGCCCAGACCCTTGGTTTGATTTCATAGGATGTCAGAGCTGGAAAGAACTGAGGTGATTCCTAGTTGCTTTGTTTTGTGTATAAACAAACTGAGGTCAACAGAGGGAAATGACTTGAACAAGGTGTCTGGGTAGTGGCAGAGCCAAGACTAGAACCCTGTTCTCTTGGTCCAGCTGTAGGTCATGAGCACAAGAGTAGTATCTGTAAGGCCAGTGGGGCTTGGAGAGGGGGTGGGTGCACCAGGTGGTTTCTAAAGCCATAACTTGAGTATTTTGTGATTAATGCTTCCAGACAGCTTTCTTTATTTGCCACCATAGAAAATCCTTTCTCCTGATTCAAGTAGGTTTAGGAATGAAATGCTTTTCATCCAAAGTGGAGGCTAGGGAGTTGAGGAAGCTTCAGAGACTGATCATCTACAGAGAGCACAGGTCTGTGTCCAACACCAGAGGTCCCAAATCTGATCTAAAGCTGTAGATGACCTGTGGAGGTTGTAGAAGGTGCCCATAACCCAAGGCCGGTGGTAGGAATTTGGGGTTATGGAAGCCACTCTCTGTAAGGAGAGGTAACAAGTAGAATCTGAACCATTGAATGACAACAATATTAATTTAAACATTCTTGCTCCAGTGGGGGGCCTTGGAGCAATGATCAGTAGGCTTTTGACACTTGTCAGACACTTGTCTGAGTCACCAGACTCTGTTCTCTGGTATTCTTCCTCAGCACCCTTCTCTGCCTGAGAGGCAGGTGAAGCATTTGTACAGTAACCTCAGCCATGTCATGGTTGTCCTTGCGGGCAGTCAAGAAGTAGAGAAGTGATGCCCCCTTTAAGAAAAAAGTGGCATCCCCCCTCTACAAAACACACGCTACATTTTCTATTTTCACTGTGGGAATTTGGAAAATGTAGAAAA